TATGCAAAAGCAGAAGAAAGAGATCCTTTCCTTGGACGACCAGGGTCCACAGCAAGCAGTTCACAATCTCATGGACATCAGATGTCTACACTTACACGAAACCAAGGGTCGTACTACTACCCGTTGTTTATTTCGCATCCGACGCCTGCTCAGCACGCTCAAAACCGCCCAGCATGACTGTTTGTGTTTTTGTTTGATTATTTTGGTATCTTTATTATTTTTTCATGTATTCTGTTCTCACAGTAAAAGGGACAGTTTACAAAAAAACCTATCATTTAACTACATTTGACAAAATTAGTACACAGTACACATTTTCGGAATTAAAATTTATATCCACCAAGAATAGAATTTCCAATTTTATTTTTCTTGTGTTTAAATAACCATGGTTTCTTCTGCAATTTTTTTAGCTATTTAATTTTGTAACTAGCTTCTATAATTTAATTTTCTTTATCTATTTTATTGATTTAATTGTTTCCAGCAATAATTGACATTCAATCTCTTTATTCCTTCTTCTGTAGAAACAAAAACAAAGTAATATTAAATTTAAATTAGTCTTTTATGGCTGTTATATATTTTATACTAGTGCATGATTGTGTAAAATATTGATGCTTTCTGTAATAAAATTATTTGAATGAAGAAGTGATTAGTTATATTATTTTTTTAAATAATTGATTGCGTGATTTATTTATTATATTAAAATTATTGTAACTCTATGTTTAATATGTCGCAGGCATGTTTATGTTGTATTAATTGGATAAATAGCTTAGCTTTACTTATAAAAAAAAACAAAATAACATAAATCTTACTTAACTTTAAGACATACATTAACATTAGATCGTTATATATTTTGAATATGTAATATTAAAGTTAAGTAAAATTTACTAAAATATGTAGTTCTGAAAAAAAAGTGATAGCAATTAATTAGTTACGTATATAAACTTAATTAATTTTGAAAATAAATAAAATAATAATTTTTATTTCTATAATTTTCCTTGAATTTTTCAATTTTTTTGCTTGGTTAATCAAGAATTTTTATCAAAGCTTCTGTTGATTTTTGCTTTTTATTTCATTAATTATACTCAACAATTTTAAAATTGCTTTTGACCTATTATCTATTCTACTCTTTCTTTATGTTAGCTTTTCTTTATTTATAATTTTCATAATCTTCATTTTTAATATTGGTGTTTATATATATATATTTATATTATATTTTGAACAATTAAAATAATAAAGTAAATTGAATTAGTAAATTTTAAGTATGAAATAAAATTTAAAAAAATTATTGCTTTGCATGTAATCATTTTTTTTTTTTTATTGTATTTAAATATATTTTTTGTGAACATATTGTTTTAGTTGATTGTAAATTAATTATGTAATGTAATATAAATTTTGTTAGCTTTGCTATTATTGTTATTTATGTAGGATATATCAAATACTACTTTTCATTATTTATATATTTGTAGTTTTAATGAATATACTAACTGTATTGCTTGTTTAATTTTAGACCACGAGATGAATACGGAATGGGTAGCGGTATAGCAACGTTAAATGGCCGTAATGGTGGTTACATGCATGAAAGCGGTCCATCTAAAGTTGGGCCACAATATGCTACTTTAAACCGTAAATTCCGCACACTTGAACATCCAGGTGCACGAGGTGCACCTCATCCTCCGCCATCATTCCGTGGTGTACCTACCTACTCCAATACTCTTGGGTACAATCGCAAACCTAATCAGTCTAATGATCGTCAATACTCAACATTAAGCCGTAAATGCAAAACACTAGAATCTTCAGATTTTTACTGAAATGAACCGACCTCTGCCGATCAAACACAAATATCGACTATAAGTGGCAGTTCACTGTCAACATTTGCAAGACCAACACCTGTACCTGACACTTCCTATCAGATTACAGAGTTGTAATGGTTTAGCAAGTATTAACAATTATTTTGTATGGCCTTTTAATTTTATCATTTTGAACTTGAGCACAGATTATTGAAAAATTAACAAACATTTGAGGGGGATGGATATTAAGCAATATATCTCATCAGTTTTTAAGTTTATTTATGGTTTTATAGTTTTTTAAGGTCATGTATGTTATATTTTATTTTTTTTTAACTTTTTAAATATTTGTTGAGTTGTTTTTATTATTATGATCTTGTGTTAATTAAAAACTTCACAAATTATCTTTTTTATTAGCTTTACGTTTGTTTCACGTATTTTGCATTTTAATATCTTTGGGTTTAGTAACATTTATATAATTTATGACAGTATACTTAAACCTACATCTTGTTTGTTTCTTTTTTATAGAAGTGTAATGCTTAATATTTTCAGTTTTCTTTGAATGATAATGACATTGGAATTTTTAAGTGCTTAATAATCTATCCTGAATCATAGTCTAGTCAATGATAACTGGCTCGTTTTCAATTATGTGTTTGGCCCACAAAAATCAAAAAAATGTCGTTTAATGTGTTTGGCAGGGGTCGTCCCAAAAAAATCCCCAATCAGATATTTTTTTTTACTAGTTCCTCAGTTTAAGAAATTAAGTAATCATTATAATTCTTCCTTTTTTTCATATTATGTAAAACAATATTGTTATAGATAATAATAATATGTTTTTGTAAATAAATAATTAGTAACAAACATTTAGTTTTATAAAATAATTGTAATATTCACATGTACACATTGTTTTAATTTTGATTTTAAAGTAACACATAAGCTTAATAATGTTTTTTCATTATTCAAAAACTATTCCATGAACTATTCATTTTATTTCTATTCCATTATTTAGAAACTGTGTTCACAGATTTAATATCCTTTGTATTATATTTTATAAATTATTATAATATTTTTTTTTCATTTTTAGAGTATAAAAATATGTTATTAATAGGTGTTTTATTAAAAAATTATTAAAATCATAGTTTTTTTTTAAAAAGGTTACTAACAAGGTTCCACTCAGAATAATAACTTTTTATGTATTTAAATAATATTTATTATTTTTGTTTGGTTATCGACTTTAAAATTGTAAAAAAAACCTCATGCGTTCTGTAAAATGCAAATTCTTATACTAACAAATCAATTGGCACCAATCCAATCATTCCACTAATTATTATTATTGTCAATAATATTGTGACAAACATTTTAAAAAATATTTAATAAATATAAATACCCAGGTCAAATATCTGCTGTTCCAATTGTATGATTTATATTGAGCTGTATACTTCACTGTATGGTGTTAAACCAACTCCAATTGTACATGGATTTAAATTTTTGTTTAGGTATAGTTTATTTTTTTCCATATAAATTTAAACGTTATTAGTAATTTAACATTATATCTTAATGGCTCTTTATAATTTGAATTTTTAAATTTGTTGTCAATTAATATTGATTTATCTTAAAATTGTTTTCAATGTTTACCTCATCGAAGCTCATAAAAAAAAAAAAGATGTGTACCAAAACGAATGAAGCACAATGTTAACGCATTTTGTACTTTTATACCACTGCTCCTATTAAATTTTGAGGTTGTAATTGTTTTTTTTTCTTAACTTGATAATATTTTAGACATGTATAACATTTACCTAAGACTGAACGAGACTGTTAATTTGTTTTTTTTTTAGTTTTACGTTATGATTTGTATTCAAAATTTCAATATTCTCGTTATGGTCATACACTCTACATACAAATTTAAATAATATTAATCCTTTAGTACAAAAAAATTAATTATTATTAATATTCTGTGTAACTAATTTTTTTTTTTTTTTTTATTATTACCTTGTTCAACCTTGACAAATTTTTGTATGTTCATATAATTTAGCGATAAAAGAAAGGAATAATTAAAAACAACAATTATACATAGTATAAGTTTTTTGATTTATTTTATATGTACTTTTATGCAGATAAAGAAAAGATCATAACTTATTTGTTGGTGACTACAAATTTAATAATATCAATCACAATATATTCTGCTGGTGATCAAAAAATATTTTTTTTATGCAAATTTGTTTATAAACTTGCAGAGAGAGTAGAATTTTTAATTTGATTTTGGTTAAAAGAATACCTTGGTATTCAGTATTATATAATATACTTTTTTTTTTTGTTAAAACTGAAAAAAAAAATGTTAAAATTGAATTTTGATATGGTATAAGTAAATAAGTTATAACTTGTGCAAAAAAAATATCTTCATATCATATTTTATTTGACTTTTTTGAAGTCTCTATTCTAAGTATATGCTTAATTTTAGTTCGGAGCTTGGCCACTTAGGTATACTTATCATTTCCAGTTGTAAAAATCAATACTTTCATTATTTATGTAATATAGTTTTTGTTTTACTAAATTAATATTATATAATAAAACATTTCTCATAGAGTAATCTATGATCAGAACTTAAACTAAACAATAACAGTTTTTGAAGAATTGAGAATACTAAAATTGAAATATAGTAAAAATAACTTACCCAAATACAAACACCGTTTTTGTACTTATTTTAAAGTTTCAATTTGATTGAGTGAACCAAGAAGAAAGTAAGGACTAGGGTTACTAGATTTTAAAATCTTTAAATCGAAAATTGTATGATTTTTTTATTGTGCAATACCATTGATTATAGAATAGTTCATCCTATCAATCGTAATACTTTTTGGTAATAAATGTATACCTATCTTTTTTTTTTATTTCATGGTGTTTTATAGACATAGTAACATCGGAAGTTTTAATTACCTATTTAAGCGTATTGGCACTTCAAGAATTTACGATTAAAACCAAAAAATTTAAATATAATTACAGGTGTATGACATACAGGTAGTTATTCAAATTATTATTATGTATAGGAGGCACCTACCTCTATTTTCATGTAGCTACGCGGTATTACTACGACCAAGTTCTGCGCGTGATATTTTGTTTTTCCCCTCTCGTCAGTGCGACTCGTGAACTGGTCCAAACACCTGACACTATATATTATGCACCTACTATTAACGGCGGCCATAAAATAATAATAATAATAGTAATAGTAAAAAAAAAGTCGAATTCAAAATGAAAATTAGGTACATGCACACCATAACGACGTGCATACGTGTTTGCATTCGCGCTGAACATGTTTTACATAAAGTTGTACATTTTTGTTTGTGTTTTATTGTTTACCGTAGTGTTACCGTTATCGTCTGCCAAGTAAGAGTTTTGACATATTTTTTCGCTGTTTTTTTTTTTTTTTTTTTTAATTCAGCCACGTTACGTAGGTATACTGTTAACATAAAATTATAACATAGGCATTACATAGCACAATAAATATACTATCACACACCATTCGCACTAACCTCTAGATTTATGTGGTACTGTTGCAAATTTCGTTGTCCGACTTGCATTTTGTTGAAATTTTTCTTTTTGAAAAATTACATAAAGCTTCTGAATATCGAAATCAATAATTGACGACATCACAAGTCATGAATGAAAATGTGTGCATCATCGTGAGTTTTTCGAGTGCGTTATAAAATTGCTCCTACTCAATGTTTCAAGTGTGCCGCAAGAAAACAAATTATATTTTTAAATTATCCAAGTACGTCCCTGTTCGTTTAGAGTTTCCCGAATGCGTTCAGAAATTAATATTACACAATGTTTGGAGAGCGCCCCAAGAAAAAAACATTTTGATTTTTGAAGTTACCCGGGGTGGCGGGGTGCATTATATGAGGAGGTAAACTGGCTTATACCTCAAAGATGTTTAGTTATTATTTATTTAATTATCTTGGTTCACAACCATTACCTAAATGTAGGGTGGGTGTACTAATATTTTATAATGTTAATAATATAATATTTATATTTTTATATTATTTATTGGTTTTTGGTTGATTTTTCAATGCCATAATCTCACATACCTAATTGAATCTAGTTCGGTTTGGTATTTTTTTAAAATTTTTTTTTTTTCAATGAATTTAGGTTATTTCTCGTTACCCTGTCTAATTTTTTTAGATACCTACCTAAAGATTAGAAGTTTGAATCATATTCTTTGCATTTATTTAAATTTGTCATATTATTTTAATATTGGGATATAGGTAGTGCAAATGTAAATTGCCTATTTATTTATTTTATAAAAAGTAATATTATAGATACCCACCTGCAGTCACCATTATAATTAAATTTATAGTATACATATTATCAGCGATAACATTACGGACGCACTAGGGAATAATTGACATATCCGAATATACCAAAATTATCGTCGATATTATGGAGGACGAATTGGGCGATGTAAAGGGTAGGTACGATGTAGATAACGGGGACACGCTCGGGCAACGTCTGTGAGTTTATAGTATTATCACTTACCTAGGTAGGTATCTATTATAACTAATCATAATTATTACACGTTATCGTGTATCCAGGTGTATAATATGTACTGTTAAATAGTTGGATACCTCATACTTATACCTACCTATCTTTATATCTTTATTGCCGAAGTCCGAAATATTATACTTACCTACGGGCTATGAGGTAATATGTTATAATTATTTATATTTACAAAAATGTCTTTTTTTTTTTTTATTGTTTTAAGAAAATTAAAATCTGTGAAACGTTACACAGCAAATAATTATGATAATAAAAGTACAACAGTGACATGAAAACTTGAATAGGAAGTGGCCCCCACTGGCCACACCTATAACAAAAATGTCTACTTACTTTTGTTTTTGTAGGTCATCATTATTATTATATTGGAGAAGGCTTTAAACGCTTTAGTTTAGATTAAAAGCCACTCACGAAATATTATTAATATTGTGGTTACTGGTTAGTGGTTTGGTGTTTGACTTAATAAAATCTATAGTGTAGGTACAAATATTTTAACATTTTAAGAATCCAACGATTTGGTAGATATTACATATTTTTACTTTTCAATTTAAATTAGGCACATCAATAATTTAATAAATAACACATCTCAATAAAATTATCTCATAATACGTTTAACATACTTCCAGTATAAATTCCAGTAGGAAATTAACTAGGCACCTATATCTTACGCGTTTTTGTTCATTTCTAGCTTTATTTTAAAATGCTTTATTTATTGTGTATTTTAAGAACCGAAGACTAAAATAGATAGGTACTTATCATACAGACATAATATGCATATTATTTTATGATATATATTAGTAAGCTTAACAGTATACTCACTTACGCGTAATAATATATATATATATATATATAGGTCATAGGACACGGGAACTCGGTAATGAATACAGTCGTTAGTTGTTAAATTATATTATATTATTGTATTAGTATACTCGTAATTACGATGTGTATTTTTTGGCCACTGTTTTCTTTTGTTTAATCTTACAAAAATGCAGCCGGACAGGGTTTCGTTAACGATGTGTCGTTTACGTATTGGCGCAGATTAGATGAAAGGTTCTCGGTTAATTTTGATTTTCTATTATTATATTCTGCATAATCTGTGCCCGAAAAATACATATGCATTTTTATTATTTGTTCTCAGTGTTTTAACCTATATATTATTAGTATTATGTTTGACAAATGACAGAAAACGTTATGACTTATAAATACCTGTAAGCTTTAATGTATGCGTAGTGTAGGTACCAACTAATATAGTGTGAACCTATAGCATTTTTTGTCAAAACCAAATTTCTTGTTTTTTATAAAGACAAGCGAACGTTTGATATAGTTTAAGAATGGATATTTATGTTTTAGATTCTGAATGATAAATGTATTAGTTTTACAATGTGTTTATTTATTTGTGCGTCTACGTAGGTACTAGAATACTAGATTTATAGTGGAACACTTGAAACAATGCTTTGATTTTTAATTTCAGTAGGTATCGTTTTTGGTAAGAAAATTAATGTATTTACTCGTAGTTGGTACTTTTAAAAGATCCAAATAAAAATTCCCAGTTTTCATTAAAATATTGGGAAAAGCAAATTAGGGAAAGGCTTAACCTAACTGTAGTTTACGACGAAATCGATTTTCGTGTTTTGTTTAAAATAAATTACTAACCGTAGATACTTAAAAGTTTAGTCAAATGTTTATATCAGAATTTTCTTTACACGATATAATTATATCATTGGATATTTTTGAGTTATTTATAGACATTGATATTTTTTTATTCCTTTTCTATAAATATCAATAACATTTTTTTGTTCTGTTTAAAAGTTTGAAAATATACATATAATACAAGGTTTCATATGAGATGTTACTATAACTATCTTAAAATATTTTTGATAAATAGAAAGTTTTATAAGCATTTGATTTCCAAATTCAGACAAAGTTTGTCAAAATCATGAAAATTTATAAATTATTTTATTTCTGTTAGAAATATATTTTATATTCAATTTTTCAACTAAGTCTTGAAAATTAAATAAAATATTTCTCATAAATTGTTTATTATAATTTTAATATATTTACACAACTTTTTTTTTATAGACATTTTAAATTCAAATTTTGATGAAATTAGATATTTAAATGAAGAATCAAATATACAGATGAAATATCTTTTGCTAGTTTTGATATTACTAATTGTGATAATATTACTAATAACTAATATTTCACAATATCAGATGCAAGTCAACATTTTTTATGTTCAAATGACGTAGAAACATCAAAAATCCGGCTCCAAAAAATCTCAAATCTCAAATAGTAAATACTATTATAAAAAAAATTTGGAACACAGCTATAGCTAGTATACTTAACTATAGTTTATAGGAATTGTATTTTGGAATCTACTTGTATGCTTTATGGTTTTTGAATATACATAATGTATTATATCTAATTAAAAACTAATTAAACTTCATAACTACCAATAATATAAGTAGTACATTATAATAAAAACTTACGATTTTTAATTGACCACTTTCATCTAATTAACAATATTAATTTGTTCTTTTGATTTATGTGATTATTAGTCATATTTTCAATGAGTTGTTTTGTTAAAATGATCTTTTTTTATTTTTATTTTTTTCAAACTATCTATTTATACTTCATATAGGTAGTATCTACTTGCATAAATTTATGTAATTGTGTCTCGGCAGCTGTTGTAGTACAATTTACAACAAATATTTAGTTAGATTACAAACGAGGTACCTCCGCTAAAACTTCTCAAAAAAATAGTTAAATTTTATAAAACATAAAAGTTATGTATCTAATTGTACTTATAAGTTATATGAATAATTCTGGTAAGTAATAGCTACTTAGGTATTTCATACAATATGAATTCTCATGCTGAGAAATAAAAATTGTTTTCAAATTATTGAAAAATATCTATTTTATGAAAAGTTCACCATATTGTTAAATAAATGTTAATTTCAAAAGAGTTGGCAAAAATTATTATCTTGTACATACTTATCGTGTGAAAATTATATTATTGACGTTATGGGTACAAGGTATGTTTTATGATTTTTTTCGATAGACAATTAGAATTCAGTAAGAGGTTTAAGGAGTGGTATTTCTCGTTATTACAAGGTTTTATGTTTGTAAAGTTTTGTTATTTTGTTTCAACCGTATTTTACATAAAATGTTTATAATTTATATTTACTGTTTAGGACAAACAAAACTTGCGAAGTAGAGTACAACGACGAAGTGTCGTCATCGGAGAAAATACTCCGATGGTTGACTGATTCGTGTCGATATGACAAAACAGTAGCCCCAGGAAAACTCGTTGCGCACAATCCAATCGTTGTATTCACTAGGATTCATGTGTATCATTTAACTTCTGTGTACCCGCGTAATCTGGTACGTTATATTTTGACGTTTAGAACTTCAGATAATATTATATAGATTTTATACATCGAATAATCAACACATTTTCGTGAGTATGTTTGAGTTAAACCATAATATATACAATATAGGTATATTGGACGTAGGTACTAGGTATAGTATATATTATTATATTTGGAATATTTAGATACAAAACCTGCAGCGCATTTCGGTAAATCGATTCATCACATTTATATTTACGTATATCAGGCGTAATCTGGTTTAGTATTTTTTTTTGAGGTAGTTAATTACAATTATAAGTATTGATCTAGTGTTTTTTAGTTAGAAATCTGCTTCAGCATTTGTGATTTGTTAATTTTGAAATAGTATATGGTGTTTACAAAGATTATCTAACTATACCTATATATTAATATAATATGCTAGAGTGCTAGACCTAAGTTCTCTCTCATAATGCTTTATTTTATTGTAGTGATTTATACTGTGTAAATAAAGTATAACTTATAAGTTCTTATTCGTTTCATCAAAAAAAATTTAGTTTATTATAAGTTTTTTGTTGCAGGTTTTGCAATTTATGCTAAAAAAATAGTTATTCATAGCCATAACATTATAACAGTCATAGCATTCGATACCTATATACATAATTAATAATAATAAATACATTCATGCTTTAAATTGGATTAATAGGACTTCAAAGTGAGGATATTGTTGCAATTCCGATGGCGAGACGTTCGATTGGCATTTGAAAATTTAGTACTGATGGACTCTTCTGAAGTGGTGTGCCAAAAGGGAGTATTGGAGCGGATATGGATACCGAACGTGTACATTACCAATGAGAAACACTCATTGACAGTAGCCGACATGACCGAAGACCTGATGGTCACCGTGTTACCGGACGGAACTGTGATGTTATCGGTTAGGTGTGGTAGCTATAGTTAGGTTGTTGGCAATTTATTTTTACTTTAGTATTATATTATTACGCTTATTGTTAAACACGTGCATTCGGTATCCGTGGTTTACCCGTGCCGTGTTTTAGGTTGAAGACATCCGTTTTTTGTTGGATGAAGCTAGGCAGATTCCCATTCGACCGCCAACAGTGTCACTTGATCATGGAAACTTGTAAGAGTATAATATTATAACACCACGTGTAATCTGTTATGTTATGATATTCGTATGTCGTATATAACATATTATTATCTATTATGTTTATACGCATGTTTAAAACGCAAATTTGACGGGGATATCATGTTATATTTTTTATGTGTTAGGTATATATAATATATTCCATAGAAGATTTAATGGTTGGGGTTTTATTAGTAATATCGTTTACTGCTTCGGGTCCTATTGGTTTTAACTTATCTCCTGTAATATTAGTAATCGCGCGCGCAAATGGAATTTCTTTAAAAAAAATTGAGTGATATGTGAAAGTTGTTTAATTTTATCTTAAGTTTGTACCAATATAAACATTTTAGAACTATCTTTACGTCGCCTCAACGCTGATTATAGTTTCATTTTTTTTTTGTTTTTGATTTTTTTTATTGGTTTCCTGGACGTTCCTTTCATCCTCTTTATAGTATTATTTACCATTTTCTTTTCCTACTCTACAATAATGTGGGTAATACAAACGTAATAAATGTTAAAAATTAATTTAATTTGGATAATTAAAAAAATATAGCGTTACATCGTTACATGCATATTAACATAGTGGTTAACAATTTATGTTAATAAAACTCAAATTATGTATTATTTATTTAACAAATTTAATTTTAGACTTTTTTTATAAAAAAGCTTGGTATAGTTTATTAATTTATTATGCCTGCTTTATTATGCGTTATGTGACGCTTGAGCATATCGTGCATACTACGAGTATAATATACCTATTGTATATTATGAAATATGAATCGGCTGTGACAAGCTTTTTTGCAGGGAGGTACGACACCTCACAATTGGTGCTTAAATGGGAAGTCGAATCGCCAGTCACCGCAGCCCTAAATGATAACTCGTGGGTTCCTTACTTGACAGAATATAAATTGCTGAAAATAATACCGCACAGCTCCGAACATTATGTCGAACCAATTTCTTTAGACCCAACTTCTAGTAAGTGGCTATATAGTTAAATAAGTATTTATACCTAAATAAATATTTATACATCTGTATTATTTATTCATTATGATTTATGTATACTATTAAATGGGGTTTGTGAACGATGTTGTCAAGTAATGACGTCAGTTCAAACTCGGTAACTATCTACCTATCAATTTCTAGAAAAATTAACCATTGTAAAATCAACCTGATAGTTGTAAGATAGTAAAAATATATATACCTACTGCTAAATATAACTAAAAAATATGACTACGATCTACCATCCACCCGTTTTTAATTTTTCTGAGTATTTAGTTACACACAATTTTTAAATCATAAATGTTTGATTTGAGATAATACCCTATGAAAAATATATCCAGTAGGCAGTATTTAAAAAAATTATATTCACGTATTGACGCTCAGTCATAAAATTGGTCAAGTATAGCTAAAGGTCCAAAATCATACTATGATACAATTACATATTCACTTAGCTATAATTTAGAAAATACAGTATATTGTACAATTAATGTACAATGAATGTATGGTTCATCGTATCGTATTATACTACAAAGCCTAAAATCTTGTATGTATAATATATTTATACATATATTACCTATATAAATGTATATGAATTGTTAGTTAACCAAGCAGAATTGTCTCGTTACAGCTTACCGTTACACGTCGTTGACGTTAACGTTCCTATTAGCCAGGGAGTACGGATTCTATATCATGGACTATTATATGCCGGGTATATTGTTGGTGACGATTTCGTGGGTGTCGTTTTGGATGGCACCCGACGCGACGCCCGCACGTGTTGCAATCGGTACGTTATAATAAAATAATAAAAAAAATCTCATAAATTTTATTAAAACGGTGACCTGACCGTGGTAACGGATAAACGCACAAAGTCAAAGGATGTGTTTTTAGCATCGTACACCACGGGGGTAGGGGTATTCACTATACTGATCGGCGGCCACCACCATTGGTTTTTTTTAACCCTATCATAAATGACAGAGATCGATGTTTGAAAGGGTTAATCATTTCAATCAAGGTAAAGTGATAATATTTGTGTTAAAATAGAATCAAAAATAAAAAACAAACTTAACGTATACGGATACACTGCTGCAATGCTGTGCTACAACTGTCAGTATAAACACAAAACTTTGTAGGTAAATTGCCATCACTGTGGTAGTTATGTGTCATGCGAGTCATATGCTGTGTTTACACATTAATGTTACCTGCAATTTTATTCTGTTAACGAAAAAATAATTTTATTGTAGTCTGCAGCTAGTTGGTACGATATCCATAATATTTACTATAAACTAGGTAGTTGGCCAACGATGTATGTATTTCATAGATATATATATATAATACAATAATTGCAAGTTATTGTAGGTTTTAGATAGTGTATTATTTGATGTTCATTTACTTATAACAATATTGTATAATTAATATGAAATAAATAAACAAATATTTTTTTATGTATGAGAGTAAAAAAGCACTCTTATAGAGTTTCAGTGGACAATATTCTTTTTATAAGTCTCTTCTCCATTATACTATTTACTGTTAGAAAATTACCGTATAAGTTACTGTGTATTTTACTTTTGTGTATATATCATATATACGTATATGCTTATAAAATTATTAACTATGCCATTTTGGTTATAATATTGCAGGTACAAGTACAATGCTCACATACTTCCAGTTGGGTATTGACACAGGCTCCAAGTTACCCAATGTGTCATATATTAGATCCAACGACTTGTGGTTTATCGTGTGCACTGCGTTCATATTCCTTTCGTTGGCCGAATTTGCATTTGTCAATACAATATGGCGTTACGGGTGAGTGTATGATGTACATCTGTGTATTGTTAGCTGAGCAGTGAGCACAGACTTTTTCAGAAGAGGCATGAATATTTTTAAGAAAATTTAAGATTTAGATATTTATTAAAGAAAATCAGTATGGGCAGTGACTTAATTTTGAATAGGTGATGACGAGGAACTTCAATCTAGTGACATTTTAAGGAACAAAACTATTTTATCATGCTTATAACCTTTATTTTTATTATTTTTATTAAATTAATATTTTAAGGTATTAGGTGTAGTCTAATCGAAAGTATCCTTTGGATTATCATGAATAGCAACATAATAGTATAAGACATTTTGATTACAAGCTACATATTTTATTGAAAAATTGTGTTTTCAAAGTACAAAATAATATGAAGAACATTGTATAAAGATACAGGCATAATGTTTTTGAAGACGGATGTGATATCTACGTTTACTGCGGCCACTTCCAATTGTTTCCTTAAGTTAAACTTAAATAAAAAATTCCGTAAATTGAATGTAAAAACCTACACAGAGCATGGCGCACATTGGGTGTGAATTTAGGGGGTGCTGGAATAATTTACAGTAAACAGTTCCGTGGGGGGCTTTGCCCCCCACACCCCCTAATACCATAATAAACTGCGTTCTAATAATTTTTAATTATTACAATTAATATTAAAATGTATTTATATTTATATATATATAATAATAATAATAATATCTAATCACTAATTAATTTTAAACAAGATTTAATTTTCTGTTAGATAATGCAAATTTTTATTATATGATTGCTGTTAATGTTCAACGTTTAGACGAAAACTGGAACGTGCAATTCCAACCCAATGAATCACACTAATTTTCAAGTGATTGATAAAATACTGAAATAAATTTTACAGAAAACTGGGGGGTGCTAAGCACCCCCAAGCACCCCCCTATGTGCGCCTATGACACAGAGTATAGATCAAATTGAGAAATGTTTTAGCTTATAATTAGGAGTTGAAGCATATAATTGTGGTGATCGTTGTGCTACGAACAATCCACGTAGTCAACATCTTTTAAATACAAAAACTGCATTATAAATTGCAAAAATCAATATCTATATCCTATATTTTTACGCATGCATTGCAGTGTAGTCGTGTAGATACAAATCGTGTAATATGCAGCATATAAATATCAATATAGTTTCACTGTTACTTGGGTTTTACGTGTAATAAAGTATAGTTGTGATTGCATTTCTTCTTTTAACGAAAGAAATGCCGTGCGCATGTTTATGAAACATATATATATTGGGTCTTTAGATAAATTAGTTGTATTATAGATGTAGGATTTATATATATATTATATACATAATACAAGGCAGATAATATGGTACTGTATCAAATATTAGGTATCTATTAATAAAATATAAAATATTGAAACTACGAGAAAGAAGCAATGAAAATTTGTTATCATTATTTTTTTCAGGTGTCATCCCGTTAAGTTGAAAAGTAAATCCAACAAACAAATGTTTAAGTCATCGATCAAAGCGAGCAAAATGTCCAAGGGAATAGTCAATAATGACCAACCGCAACAAACTGTCGCAGCTGGTGGTTTATTTCTCGACGGAAAAAGATTACAAAGCAATGTAAAGTATAAACCTATTGGATACGCTATAGTATATAAACTATTCATATAACACAAATACATTTTTCTCCTTGTAAAATAATAAAGTCTATAGATACATATTTTAGTATAGTAGGTAGGTCCCGTCGAGTTGTTCTTTATTATTGAAATCGCCACTTGGGCACGTGGCTTACTTTTGTGTACCTACAATATTGTTATAATATTATGCTAGCATGTGATGTTGGAAAGATTTCCAGATGGGTTGTGACTGTAAGTGACACAAGTTTTCTTAAAAATACGCCTATGGAGCATCTAATTGGTTTTCCATTGTTCGAGATTGCAGCTGTGCCATACATAATATATTACGTCATACGAATAGGTAGAACCTTAGAGGTATACGCACAGCTGCATAGGTATGAATGTATTATAAATTTATATAATATGTATATAAAGTGTGATTCACCAGACATACTCACCCTATTATTTCTTCAATAATGCAGTTATTTAAAACCTGCAGATTTTTAGAATTTTTAATCATACTATAAGTTCATATTTTCAAACTTTTAAGATGTTAAAGTATTGTATGGTAATATAAACTTCTATTTTTAAAATAAAAACTGCTCTTGCCTACTAAAAATTATCTAATGGATGATTTTTCTGAATATGTTGACTTATCAGAATTTGAACGAGAAGTTTTTGAGTTATTTAACTTACTATACTTAAGGATAATATAAGTCCATGATAATGGGGTTGGAAAAAATAAGGGATATGGTGGTTTTAAAAATGTTAGTAATATTAGTCAATAATTTTTTAACATTTATGATTTTTAAAATTTGTTCAAGCATAATAATATAAATATTACATGTTTTTACATTTTTGTTAAATCATTTTTTAGGATTTGAATTTTTAGTAATAACATTTAAATAATTAAGAAATTATTTTTTTGGATTTTGAATTATGTATAAAAACATTATTTACATAATAATTTATAATAAAAAGGAAGGGGTTCAAATTAAAAAAAAATAAAAGTTTGTACTGCTATAGAACACTTTTTAAGTAATATAAAAATCTCAAGAGTTTGAATATATGATTTTTAAATGTAATTAAAAATTCAAAAAATTAAAATTTTAATAAATTTAATTTTAAAGGAATAAAGGGGGGTTGATAAAATTTAGTAAATTACTCTGTATATATATATATATATAACGTTGATATAGATGGAATTTTTTATACTATAATATATTATATACTTGTAACTGAAGTGTGCAAAGATTTGCTAACAACGTTAAAATAAGAATAATAATTGTTTTCTAAAAACACGAGTGTGTATTTTTCATTTTATAAAATAAAATAAGTTAAGTCATAATGAAATAACTGAAAATTCTTTAATATATTTCTTTTAAATATTAATTAGTATACTTTAAAAATTTAAGGTTTATTTGACATTTCTATATTTTCTATTTTACTAAGGTTTTGTTGAAATAATAAACTGTCGTGTATCGGTGTGTAGAATATTGTACAATAATTTAAAAACGTCATTTATCGATTTTATTACTTATTATTTATTAATTAGTAGGTAGATATAAATATATACAAATATAATAATAGTAAAACCCATAAATATTCGTATATTCTTATAAGAACACTCGGTTATAGTTGCAACACTAGGTTAGGTACTAGTTGCCTTTAAAGAAATTGTAGGTACATTCAGTTATAGGATACAAATTACTTTGGAAATTTTATCTTATTATAAGTTACAGTTACAGTAACTAATAATTATTTTTAAAGTCACATAAATTACACTTCAAGTAATAAGTTACTTAATTAAAGATTAAACAATTATAAACAATGTTTCTTTCTTCAAGTAAATAATTACATTGCTAAATATATTTTGCTTGTATGAGGAGACTGAAAGGGTAATGAAAATATACTTAATGTAAATTATAACTTTTTAAGTAATTATTAAAATTTAAAAGTGTGTTAACATTAAAATGCATTACAACTACTTTTCGCTCGTTTCTATGCTTTTATAGCCTTTATTCTAGGTTATCGCTGTATTGCTGCCAATATTTCTTAGAGGTACAACTAGTTGACGCTCTCAATCTATCCGTATCAATCTTACTCCGCGTCCCAGCCTTACAGTCTACCTAACAATAAGGAACCTTTTCCACGCTCTAATGTTCTATTAAACTCCACCTCGTATGGTAACAAATTAACAATTAGCAATATTATTCTATAAATATTACATTGAATACTCTGCAAGTTTAACAAATTATTTTAGTTTTTCATCAATTTTAATTAAACTTCATTTAATGAAGGTATTCCTCTATTCATGGGTTTGTTATTTTAATCTAAATTTTATCTTATACACTGTGGTCTGTGACTATGTCACTCAGCATAATTATATTACCTATTTGTTAAAAATTTTACGATTTGTCAAAGACGAGAAATAAAATAAATAAAACATTAAATTAAAAATCATAATATAAAATTATGTTAACACGAATAAGTAATGTGGGTAACACATTTACACATCTACAGTACATTTATTTGCTAATATTACAAATTCTTTATGTTATAAAATAATACATTTATCATTAAAAACAATGTGTTAGTTCTTTTTTTTTTTTCATAATCGCTCCATCCACACTGAATAAAACTTCTATTACTGGAATAGGCAATAAATACTTTTATTCAAATACGTTACAATACTAGTATTTAATAGTAGTTATTATATAAAATAACATTTATTGAGATCGAATGAATCTATTCAAACTTTAAATAGGTAATAAATATAGTGATATTGATATTAAAAAAAAAAAAAAAAAAAGATTATTGTATTAATGTTCATTATCTTTCTATATAAAATATTTCAATTGCAAAAAATTATATTTACTTTTATCGTTCAATTATTATATTTTTAAATGTATAACTTAAGATATTTACTTACATTAGACAGTATTTCTTTAAAGTCATGATAGAAATTGTGATTAGTTATATTTTAATGTTATTTTAAAATTACGTAGGTACCTACCTAACTGATTACTCGTTATAAATGTAGCTAGGTTAAATAACTTTTATATATGCAGCTGATAACTGGCTAAGCCCAACCTTGTATATTGTACATTTCAACATTTGTACCAACAATATACAAACTATATATTAGATAAATTATTATTATTAAGGTAAAATGATGGGTGTGACTATGATAATATTTCAGTTTCTATAAAGATTAAAGATCCTGTACATTTAATTATAAGTGTAACTATATCATGTATATATAGTTTTCAAGACTATAAAGTATTAGGTAGCTGGTAGTATATACATATGTTTACATATTATATGACATTTATTTAATGACTGTATGTCTATATGTTATATAATAATGTTATAGTTTACAGGTTCTGCAATGGTTAGGTACATCTATAGTACCTATTTTAGATATATTTATTATATACTTATTACAGTGGCATAGATACACATAAAAAAGCGCTCCTAAAACAAAATATTTTTTCACCCCTAAAAATTATTTAGGCTTCAAGGCAACTGCCCCTGTATTGCTTGCGGTAGCTATGTCACTGATTACTGATCTAGGTACCTATTACTTAACTATACCTATCTAATTTTACTATGATGACGTATGTTTATTTTAATTATCATTATTATTTTTTTTTTTTATTTGTCGTTCGTCATCACTTTTTGATAAAAAAAAAAAAAAATACTTTGATAATAATTTTAATGATAGGCACATTATAATTTTTAATTCATAGGAGACATTTCATGGTTCGACCATAGGAATTGACCTCAAGGGAAAAATTATAAAACGGAATAGATACTTAACTACTTTGCACTCTCGGTTCCTTCTGATATAGTGCACTAGGTGTCTATAAATGTGTCACAAAATAAAGCTACTATTAATATGAATATAAATTAAATTAAATTGTATTCGCATAAGTCATAGTAATACATTATACGATTTATACGGCTTGAAGCGCGTGTAACTTAAATCTCCCATTAATGTAGGTACTCGTATAAACATTACGGTAATACGACTTAATCTAATAATTTTAATATCTATATAATATTACACTTTAACTAATGGTTGGTAAATTATGTTAAGGGTACGACAGAATTGAACGCAGAACTGCCTTATACGATGGAAATGAAAGCGATGGGCAAGGTAAAATTCAAGGTATCTGAAGAATCAGCACGTCAATTACATGGTGGCTTAACAACTACGGCCCAACAGATTTCGATTTGGATCGACGAGAAAAGTAGAATTGTGTTCCCAGCGTCGTTCATTTTATTCAACGCAGTATATTGGAGCTTATTGTGGGTTTAACGAAATTTCGACGACCTATGGAAGTGATTTTACGAACATACTACACGTTCAACTTAACTTTCAAGGGAAAATTCGGTGGGTATATCGGTAATTTACTATCTGCAATATTCTATGAAGGATAAAAAATGTAACATTTGGTATACTGTATATCGTATACGTGTAATTTAAAATAGTATTACCTTTGTTTAAATGTAAATATAGCTAAATACAAAATTTAATCGTCGCCTATGAACTAAAAAATATAATGTGCTTGTGGATTTTTAATACCATGAATATATTTATTACTTTTTTAAATGGTTTATGAATCATTCATGTTTAGACTTCTTGCATATTATTTTGCTATGTTATTAAAATATTATTAATGCTCAATTAAAGTAATACCTAACCTATACATTCTTTCTTTTGGTCATAGGAAAGAAATAATTTAGGTGGTACTATTATTAAATAGTAGTAAATTTATATTATATTTGAACTTCTATTATTTATAAGAACTAGAAATGCCAACCTATAAATAGAAAAAATAAGATGATTGAAATCAGTTGAATGTTATTGATAAATTTTTTTTTTATAGATCCGTCTTTATAAAATATCACAGGTATCTAATTAAAAAAAAAAAATAATAATAATAATATATTAATAAATATACATAAAACACACATTCAAAAATAAATTGGCTATATTGTATCAAAATAATAATGGTACAAGATTTATAATCACAGTAAATTATTAAATAAATTTAAAAATATTAAGTATAAAATATATCACCACGTATGCTTGGAGTATGTATGAGTATTCAATTAGTTTAAATCAAGAAAAAAAGTACAACAATATAAATATATTAAGTAAAAACAATTGAAAAACTATATCAAATTAAGTTTAAAATAAAAATATTATCGCCACATAAAATATAATTATGTTATGTACTTTAATTGTTTTTTGTAATTTTAAAAAGAACAACATACAGTAATTATGTACATAAAAAATGTTGTATAAGAATTAAAGTTTGAATAATGTATCCACTTTGTATGTAATAATAGTGTATACTAAAAGGTTGTTAGCACCAAAGTTGTAAAATATGATTCTTAGTTTATGTAAGCAAATGTTTCACGTATAATTTCAATATAATATAGTATTAGAGTAATTTTTAACAATAGGTTTTGATTTAAAAAAAAAAATATATAACAGAAATAAAACTCAAAACTTTACTGTCACTATATATTATGTATTTATGAAAAAACTAAATTTTTTCATAGCTCACATTTATTTAGCAAGTTGGTCAGTAATAACGTATAATTAATTATAGAGCAGTTTTTGGTGATGCATTATTCAAATTATTCTGTATTGGGAACGTTATCACTTGCACTGAAAGGAGTGCCATCAAACTTTCTCAAATGTATCTGAAATATGTAATTCCAATATATTATACTCTGGAAACAGTATCGGAAATGTATATTTAATATTTACCTGCAAGTGTAAGTTTACTTCATCACTGCGACTTAGATATGGAAAATTACCGCCAGACTTGAGTTGAGCCAGTTTAGCGTCAGGATATTCCTGGTAAATTTTTTCCTTAATGGGTGAACCTAAAGCATAATCATCAAATACATCCATAAGAGTGACACTTTTTAAGCCTCTCATCAATGATGTATTGACACGGCTATTCAAACAATTAATGGTCAAACGAGATGCAAGATCAGCCTGTGATAATGATTCAATCTAAATTGTAAAAATACAACTATTATTATTTACAAAAATATTTTGTTCTCCAGAGATAAAAACTAGGATATTAAGCTAATTACCAGTTCAACCATAAAATCTATTGAATCCATTATTTGTGTATCGTAATATGTTTCCCTTGATGAAAAATTAGATAACACCATTTTTCTAAGTACTATTGCAGGTAAAATCCAGAACCTAGAAAAATTTAAAGTTATAAATCATCATTTATAACAATGAGCTTAAAATAAATAATATCAACATTGAAAATTTAATTATTAAGGTAAACTGAAATAATTTTAAAAGTACTTTTGCTATTTTATAAAAATATAATTTTAATATAATAGTAAATAGTTGTTTAACTATTCAACATTCAAGATTACTTGCTATTAAGCTGAAACTAATAAAAACTTTTATCTCATTATTATTTTTATATAACATTAAAGTACATAAAGTTTAAGTTAAAAAAAAAATTTAACTTACAAAACAGCAGCATCTTTATACTTGAATATTGATGTATCAGTAAAAGAGTTGCATAAAAATAGTGATACAACTCTAGGTTGATGTACAATTGTAGAAAATTCCACAAACTTTTGTGCCAAAAATCCACCTAAAAATGAAAATAAAATTACTGAAAAATATACATTTCAACTAAATGTTAAACTATGCAATCTCAATATGTTTATTTGTATACTAATTTTTAATTTTAGCACCATTTAATCTTGTGAACAATATAGTTTCTATGCTTATCTATGCCGTTGTTATGTACATAACAAAAACCCGCTACTTGCATAAAATTGTTAACTATTATACATTCATTGCATATATAAGCTCACAATCTGTGATGAAACTTTTGTTTGAATACATAAAAAAGAAATGGAGACTGAATGCTCAAAAATTAAAACTCATAAAAAAGGTATAGATTCCAGAAAATTTCTTATATTTTGGTTGAGGTAAGAAATGTATACATTAAATATTAATAATTAAGTATAAAAGTGATAGATTATATTCATTAAACAATTTTAGAATGTCAAAAATTGTAATTTAAGATTTTTTTTAATAAATAAAAATCACCGATTGTTTTAATATTCTTTTAAAAAATTTAATCATTTTGTATAATTGAGTGATTATATGATAATAAGCACTTAATTAGTATAAATTTGTCAATATTCTGTAAAAAATAAGATGTAAATAATGCACATAAATAATAATTTTGATATTTTTAAAAAATTCAATAGATATTTTAATCACACTTAGTTTATAATTCAAGCATAGTATAATAATTACCATGTAAGTTTAAAATAAATAATATAATTTTAAAGACATTTTAATTTATTTTATTATCACCAAATATTTAATAAACCTTAAAAATTATAAATATGTAGTAACAATAATTTGATAATTTTAATAAAATCTATCTTAAATACAATATGGGCTTTTATAAAAATTACTTTAATTTAATTATTAAAGCTGAAATTAAAATTAAATAATACATAGAATAATTAAAAATTAAAGATAGATTATTATAATGTAATTTAAGATATTAATTTATCCAAAGTATTATTACACATTTTTGTTAGGAAAGGAGGTGATTATATGATTAAAAAATATTAATTTTTTTCGTAAAAATATAAAGTATAACTGTACAAGAATTGACATGCTGTAGTAATTTCTTATTTTATTCTGTTTTACAACTTTTTTAATGTTAAGATATGTACTTATTATGTATTTTATTGTGATGACAATTTACTTTATAAAAAATATAGCACACAATTATTGTTGATTAATATTTATTAAATATCAAAATTAAATTAATTTTACGTTTGAAATATTTACAGCATATACCATGTACTATTACAATAAATGTGTGTTTTAAAAATAATTTTAAATAATACTTTACACTACTATACTAAGTTATTTTTGTTAGGTGTTAGTAGTAATTTTCAAGTAAGTTTTGTCTTTCTGCATTATAAATTCCCTTAAATTATGTTCTTAATTCAAATAATTTCCAATAAAAAAAAAAAAACAAGTATGTTTATTATGCTTTTTTTAAACGCATTTACATAGGTACATTTTTATAATTTACTAATGGCAACACTTCTGAAATTTATGCTGAACATGACATTTATGAATAATTTATTTTTTTTTGTATTGACTCTGGACATATTTTAATTATGCTACATCAACAAATTTAAGCTTTATTGGCTATAATGAAATAAGACGTGCAAATAATTTCTCATATAATATTTTCATTTATACATAAATTATATTTTTAATAATTAAAGTTGTACTTAGAGTTATCAAAAATTAACCATTGTTTTCTCATGGCGTCATTTGTATTACGGTAAAATTGCACATATTTTTACAATTACTTTTATTGTTATTGTTTAGTATAGACTATAGACAAGTAGGTATAAAGTTCTTTACCCATGTTGAAAAAACTAAACATGAATATTAAAATACAATTTTTAATAATCATTGGATTTACAGATTATATAATAACAATTTTTTGAAAATCAATTTATGATTTTTTTATCAAACAGCACATTAACTAATTACAATATATATAGATAAAATAACAATTAGTGTGTATTATTATTTTTAAAATTATCATAATTAATTAATTACCTAATGAAGCACCAAATAAATGCACTTGTTTAATATCCATATGATCCAATAGTTGCATGAATCCTTCACACCATTCAGTAACACTCCAATAAGGTGGATTTTCAACCTAAAAAAAAGCAATTAGACTGTTTAAGAATTTTTAGTCAGTAAATTTGGTATAAGCTTATCAATGCTACATACTGATATGACTCGGTAGCCTTTTGAACTGAGCGTTAGCAACTGTTTGAAAAAGACTTCGGCTCGGCCGCTGACTGCATGCAAGAACACCAATGGAGTCTCTACTGAACGAGGACCCGTGTCGTACACTCTCCATCCCTACAATAATTAGATTTTAAATAATAATATTGTAGATAACAATTTATAATTTATAAGCATTTATTAACATGGTTGTTGGTAGCTTATAACACAATATCGACTAATACAATTCACACTAAAATTTCTAAATACCGCACTCCCTTGGTTGCTAAGATTTTGTCTGCTTTTCAAAGGGGTCTAATGTTTAGAAAAGTGAGTTTTTTCTTAAGAAATGTCCACTATTTGGAGATGCCTGTTGGGAGAAGTTTCATTGTGTGTTATTATTACATTAAAAGTGCAAATTATGTCCAAAAAAATATTCGGGTGAAAAGGGGGGCCCTTAATGTATAATTGTAACGATAATAATGACAATTAATAGTAATAGTAAAAAGTGAAAACCTTATTTAAGCCGGTATCGTCCAGTATGATTTGCTTAAGAGGCACGTTGCACCTGAAGCTCGTGTACTCCGGCGAACGAAATATCCGACTGGAGCAGCTCATCGTGAATTCGTGTGTCGTTTTCAATTACAATAATTATTGTTTTCGTCCATCATCGCATCGATTTAGAACAAGAAATAATATTTTTACTTGGTAGTAGGTACACGATAACGCAAGCAATGCAAAAAAAAAAAAAAAATTAAGCAACCTGTTGCTCAATTCTATCGAGGTAGCGAAAATAACATAATAATAATAATAATAATGATAATAAAGTCGAAAGACGTCCTAAATATAATGGCACAGTAGTATAGTAATATTATAGTGGATAGTAGGCAGTCGCCTAGGTGTATTAATGTTATAATAATATTATAATATATGGTATAAATACACCTTTCCACCTTGGCAGTAGCGCGTAACAATTTACTATAGCCTACTAATAAGTGACTGGTAGGAGTGGTTGGCGGAGAAGACGACTGCGTATCGTGATTAGACAGTACGAAAATACGTAAACAACTCGTGTCGGGTGATAACGTTTTGGGACGTTATCTCAAAATACTCACAACAGTCACAACAGTCGAGCGTAAAACCCCGCCGTTAAACCGTTTCCGAAAAGAGGAACAATAATAATATTAATTATTATTTGGAATAAATGAATAATATTATTAATATTTATAATTTCTCGTAATGATGACGATCGTCGAACAAAGACCGATGACGGTGATTGTGTTACCGTATTATACAATAGCGGTGCAACATAAATGTAATTTGTGAGGTAGGTGCCGTCGTACGACTCTTCTAGGAAATGGTCGCGTGCGATTCATTGTTTCCAACGACTGTTTTTGCATTTTCGTCACTGGATCGCCGCTGACCAGAAGACGTTTTCCGCCAATATAATATTCGTTCGGTATCCGGCTTCCTTAATTTTCATTTGCCACTTTCCAGTGCTTTGCGAATACGGGTGAAACATGAACTTCGTCGTCGATTTGAACAACAAGACAGCCGGCCGTGACAGAATAGCGAGGTACTTTTTGAATCGAATCTATATCAACATAATTATTATCGTTTCTTTAATGTTATTGTGTGCGGTTTGTGCGTCCGTGAAGAACTTCTTAATTAAAAAACTTTGAGGGCCGACAAAAAAAATGATCCAGAAATTCATTTAAAAAGAAATACCTAAAACGATTAGGATTTATAATGAATTGTGTACCAGCATTCTTTATTTTCGAATCGTTCGTTTAAGAGAATGTCGCCTTAACGTTTTCTCTCTCCGACTAACACACGGCATATCAAATTTGCGTTCAGCAGAACTAGCCTTACTGTTATTAGCTTTAGTTTAGCAGTGATTTGACCACTATTTGTTAAATATTAATTATCTTTTTTTTTACTTAGGCATTTTTACAGCTTTCCAATTGTTATGCAAATGTTAAGTACCTATGTAAAAATGTTCATGTATTTTATCAAAATGGAAATATTATTATAAAGTGACATCACACTAACATCACATAGTTGATTCTACTTGCACAGTTACATTTATACTTAAAAAACTTTATAACTATAAATTTTATAGTTATTGGCTATTATTAATTTTTATTTTTGATGACTACCTAGTATAGAGGAGGAGAATATTGCACTAATATTCTCCTCCTCTATGGATGAGAGGTACACACAATATTATAAGAAATTTTATGTTTATTGGATGTTGAAGTAACAAGAGAAAAGTGATAATGTTTCATAAAAATGTATTAGTATATATTTTAAATGGATATTAAGTATTAACTGGTTTTTTCTTCAGGTTTGTTCAATATGGTTCAAAAACAACATGGCATTATATGGAAAAAAATGACTTTAATGATCAATCAATCAAAAAATTTAAGCAACTCGAACAGTCCTTGGCAGCTTTTCGAAAAGGTAAATATCTATATCTACCACCATAATTTGCCAATATATGTAATTAAAAAAAAAATCTATCATTTCTTTAACTTTTATAAAATGTCTTCTTAATATTTAATATTATGTTGTATATTAAATATAGGTACTAAGTTTAAATTAGGAAACTATGTTTACTGTATTTATCTTCTCAAACAGTAGTAATTATTTTAATATTTAATTTTATTGTTCTAATTTTGTAGTACTGTAGTAGGTATTTATTCTTTATTTTTCGGTTTTGGATTAAATGTAATTATTATTAAAAATTAAACTGTATTTAATCAATCAATTATGATAAATAAAACATATTTTTATGTATCTATTTAAGACATTTTGCATTTTAACATATTTTTTTAAACTGTATATTAATTATTATTATTACTATTTACTAGTTACTAATATCAACTTTTTTTTTTACAGTATTAAGATTTGGCCGCTTTATCGATTCATTGCATACTGCACTGCGGACTGTTAATCATTCAGATAAAACTATAAGGTTTTGTGTGACATTTTCAAAGATAGCTCATTCTTTGTACTTGTTTTGTGACCATTTTTTGTGGTTGAGTAGAAATAATTTAATACAAATAAATGCTACAAGTTGGGGTCAAGCAAGTAATAAGTATTGGTTATTATCTATAGTTCTAAATCTTGTCAGAGATGCAGTGGAGTTGAATAATTTATTTAAAGCTATCCTGAAAAAAAAAATTTTAAACACTCTGAATAGAAAAGTAGCTCCTAAAGATGTGTTCACTGGTGAAGCAGTCCAATTTGTTCGTAGCCATAAAGATTTGTTAATCGATACTGTAAAAAATAGCTGTGATGTAATGTTACCATTGACAAATTTAGGATTAGTTAGGTTGAGTCCAGGTACAATAGGTGTAGTTGGTATGATATCATCACTGCTCAGCTTGTACACATTAATAGACCAGAAAGCCAAGTTACCTTACACGTAAATTATTTGTTGTCATTTAAGTATGAAAATAAGATATTAATTTAAATTTGGATATAATATCTTATAACTAATAATTTAATTTTAACAAATCAATTATTTTTATGAATTTATTTGTATATTTTATACTTGAGTAAGTAAATTAAACTATAAAAACAACTTTAAAAAGTAAAACTTTTATATTTTGTTTACATTTTAATGAAAAAAATCTTGTTATAATTATCTTTTTATTTTTATTATGAATGTATAATTTGTAATTTTATAGTTATCATCTTGTTGTTTTTTTTTTTTATAAAATAATTAATTGTTTAACAAAATTATAAGTCTATTAAATAAGAATTTTGTTACATGTATTAAACTTTTGGTTTCTATGGTATTTGGACTTTGGAAGGTTTTGTAATTGACTTATTGAATTATTTAATTTATGTGAAATAAAATAATCATTAAAAACAAGAAGAACTAATAAAATACTTAAATTGTTTATTATTTTCATTCATTAGTTATCATTTATATTTCTATGCTATCCAATCAAGAGAGCATTATGTTTCTTTTGTAATATTTTAAATAAATTAAAACTTTGAATTTTCTATTATTATTTTGGTAAACCATTTTATAAAATTTATATGTATATGTAAGCAGTGCATAGTAAAATTAATGGAAACTTTAAAATTCAGGAACTGATTTGTTTTTTAATCATGTATATCATTCTAATTATTCTTTCTGTTAAAATAAATCAGTTTTAATAAAACTGATAGTCAATTGCAAATAGTACAAGGTAAAATAAAAATAAATAAATACATTTTACATGGAATATCATAGTATAATACTATAGTATATTCCTATTTTAATTTTTATTAATTATTTGAAACATGGTTACATTTACATAGGTACATTGTTGGGAAGAAGTTTTAGATTCAGAAGTTTTCTGAAAGACCTAAAAAATCTTTTTGCAAAAATGAAATTTTCGGTTTGATTTAATCACAATTAGATCAAAATATTAGGAGTTTTAAAATTTTGGAACCAACTTAGATTAATTCAGGTGTAATTGAATGGAAACATGTAAATATTATGCATATTATACATATAAATATATAAATACATGTATTTCAATTGTAATTTGCATGAAGGTTACTGAAAAAGTATAAAATGTTATGTACCTACATAGAATAATCATACCAAAATTAATTATGAGGAATCCTAGTTAAGCCTCTCACATTGCCTTGTCTAAAAAACTATTTTCATGTTATTTTAATTATTTTACCCAAAATTATTACTTATTAGGCGTGTGTATTTTATTATAGTTATTTTGTAGTTGGTACTTAGCTAAATTGTTTATTCTTTGTAAATACCTAGAGGATATTGGTACCTATAACGGCAATTATTTAAAATACAAATTTATGAATGTAAAAATGTAGACTTCTATGTATAATACTCTTATTGTTGCCGCCGAAACCGATCCTATGAATAATGCGGTTATCGGCAACGACTCGTGACTTGTGATGAGGACGGCGGCGGCGGGTGGGGGGGGGGGGGTTATTTTAAGTAGTTTTACAATTTAATTATATTACAAATTATCGACTACCAAACAACATATATTATAATAATATAGAAATAACAATGCGGGCGCCCTAGAATATACAGTGGATATATATATATGTATAATAATAATTAATAGTTTTAAGAAAAAAGGCCGCAACACAACGGAATCACAATATATGTATATAAAAACAATTGGTGACTACTGTACACAGAGGTATAAAATAATAAGATTATATTATGACCTGATGGCAACAGCAGACAGGATCCACCGGAACAACGTTCAATATTTCACACCTCGTCTACCACACGAGGTTTGAGTAAAATTTAAGATGAAGAATTGGTGAGCGAACGCAACGATGCGTTTGACTCGACCGTTGGAAAAAAACAAAATTATTAGGCGGCTGATCGCTTGACCACCGGACGGCGAGTTGTCGCCGGATGGCGGAGGGGGAGCTTGTATATTTGTCGCGTTCGCGGGGTCCCGCGTAAGCTCAATGGCGGCAAAATGTGTTCCGCGTTCAAACTCTCATATTATTTATTTTTTTTTTTTAAATGCAAGTTTTCGATATTTTTTTGTCTACCTGGATAAATATTTTAAGTGTTACACATGGGATACATAATCATTATTAGTGGTATTATCTAAGACCTAGGTATACCTTGACTGCGTCCAAATTGATTTTAATTTCTGAAAATTGACGTTCGAATTGGTTCCCGATAAAGACTTTCAAAAAAGGCGAAATACTACTGTTTATTATTTAATATTATTATAACATATTTTCCATCATTATAAATATATATGAAGTGGATTGCCATTTAGATAAAAATCGTAATAAAATCGATATTATATTATCTATATGAACGAATAGTATAGTATCTAGTCGTCAGTCGGTACGACATTTGTAATGCAACATAATAACCACTGAGTGGTAGGTACCTATATAGTGTTTGAATTTGTGTTGAAAGCTTCTCGACAATAGTCTTTACGTATAGTGAAAATAATAACAAACTGGGAACCAATTCGGAGTGTCAATTATGTTATATACATTTAATTTCGATCAATTATTTGTTATACAGTGGTTGCCGCTTATCAGGGGTGGATTTAATAATTTGCCGCCCCTATGTCCAAAAAAAAAAATTGCTGCCCTTATTTCAAAAATCACCACTGTACAACAAAATTTCCTTACATAATAACAATTTCTATATGTGTGCAATTATTTTCTCATTTAACTAAAGTTCAATTAAAATGTTATAATTTAAATATAATATTTTCTCTTTATTTTTATTATACAAGAAAAAATAATAATAAATGTATTTAGTTATATAAGTAGTTTTGATGTTAATTGTTTATTTTGAAATTGAAAAATTCAAGAAAAAAATTAAGTATTTTTCTAAATAAGAACAAAATAAATATTAAATACAATTTTGCTGCGTATAAAAAGCCGCCCTCCAAAAATTTGTTGCCCTGTGCGGCTGCATAGTTTGCAGTGTCTTAAATCCGCCCCTGCCGCTTATTAGATTCACTTTGGGATCAGAGAATTTGAGTCCATTAACCGAATGAGTCAATAATGCGATTGACCCTGAAAAAATAAAAAAACCGCTTATTTACTTTAAAATTATTCATTTAAAGCTGTTATGTAATACATGTATAATATTAAAATAATGTAGAGGACATAGGTATTTAATATAATTAAATTATTAATTAATTGTTGATAAAAATCCATCAATAGTTGATTTGATTTTTTCTTCTTTGGTCAACTTCGTAGTCATTTTTTCAAAAGCTTTATGTTGCTTGAATACGTAAAAATCGTTTCTTTATGCTGATTCCTTCAGCGTAGAACCTGAAACACTTTTTGGATCTGTGTTTTTGTATATTAGATTATTAAACAAAAACATTTTGTTCAACTCTATCCACAATCGAATATAGTATACTTTAAATTGAAATTAATATATACAAATAAATTAAATAGAAACAAAAATACTTAAAAATAATTATCATTTTGCAGTAGATTTTTAAAATCTCCTCTTATTTTTATTTTTATTTTATTACAATTTTTTATTTAAAATCTATATTTAACAATACAATAAGTAAATTTGATAAATATGAAGAAATTATTGACATGGATTTATATTATGAGTGAAAATATCCATTGATATTACTCTTCAGTTAAGTATCTACCTTATTTCCTATAATTTTTTTAATTATTACCTAATGCAGGTAAAAAAAAGCTGATATTATGTATTATTATTGTAAACCGCGATAATACTTAATACCTAGTTATTTATCGTTCCCGTCATTACGCTTCCGTAAAATAATCATAAAAATGGTATTTTAGTTTTTAAAACGTAATTTTTTTTATGTATTATATTACAATGTTCTCAATCTGTATTATTTTTGAGTTTGATAACTTGTCGACATAAGGTTAGGTCACGGCTTGACTTGTAGTTTCACCTATGCGGCTATGTGGGCTAAGCCTTTGACAACTAATGACATTTTTTATTAGATTTTGAGTCGAGTGATAAATGTATTGATTTTATATAGTGATGTATGTTTGTTTCTGACTGCCATCACCTTTTTTTGGGGTAGTAAAAATGCTTTGATTTCAAATTTGAAGTGGTTTTTGGTGCAAAATCGGATTTAACTAGAAGTTCACATCCTTTAAAATAATTATTTATGTATATAAAACCTGTTGATATAAGAAACCAAAATTGAAAAATTAGAGGTCTTCAGGTCCACCACTATACATTAGTCGTCTACTGCCTAGGGACTCAAACTAAACCTTTAATCCAAGACTTATCAATCAATAATAATTCATGATTTTCCTCCGGGATGCCTAAAGCCCAAATGAAAACTTGTCGACTTTGCTGTAATTTTTTTTTTTATATAGGTAGGTTGAAAAATGTAAAAATAACCTTAATATTTAGTATTTACAACTTAGATACAAACAAACGTTTTTCTATACATTTATAGCTATAAAATCATTTTTAATTTTTAATATTTTGATTAATTTTGTCAAAATTCAAAATTCAAATGATTATAAAAAATATTATGACTTTATACTTTCGATATATTTTAATTGATAAATTAACCGAATTAAGTAAATTTGTGTTACATTTTCAAGCATTTTTATCCAATAACATATTTTTTGATATTTAAAAAAATAAATAAATAATTGAAATCAAAATTTTCATTTGCTTATAAGTAAGTAACGCAAAATGTGTCCAAAATATTTCGAAAATTATACCATGTATAGAAATGATAATATAAATACTTGGGTGAAAATTTTAAGTTACTGCGCTTGTTATTGTTTTTGAATTAAAATAAAATTAATAAATTAAATTTGTCAAAAACTGACTTAGCGTAAAAATTTAGGTTTTACTTAATTTTTTGTTTGTTTTTCCCCTTTATATTAATAAAAAAAGTAATAGGAATTAAAATTTTGACATTTTCAATGTACAAACTAAATCCAATTTATTATTCAAAACCTTCCTCAAGGTTAAAAATTTAAATATTTTATTGACTACTTATTTTATAT